CATGGGGCCCCTGGACAGAGACCTATCCCAGACAGGACAGTGGGGATGGTGCAAGGTGTCATCCTGCCACTCGGGTTTACGTCTGGAATTTTTCATTTAATATTTTTGGACTGTGGGTACCGGAAACCTTGAAAAGTGACACTGGGGATAAGGCTGGACTGCTCTGTCCATATAGACAAAGGAATATTACCTGGCCATGAAAAAGAAGGGACTCCTGCCATTTGCAGCAACATGGATGAGCTTGGAGGACATTACGCTAAGTGAAATAAACCAGACACAGAATATCGAATACCACACGATTGCCCTTATAGGTGGGAGTCAAAAAATCGAACCCACAGAAACAGAATAGAGGTTGTCAGGGGTTAAGGGATAGGGGAAATGGTGAGCTGTTGGTCAGAGGGGACAAACTTTTAGCTACAAGATGAGTGAGTTCTGGAGAGACCTCATGTGCAGAATGGTAACTGCAGTTAATGACAATGTGTTGCATACTTGAAATTTGCTAAAAGTAGCTCTCAGGTGTTCGCATCACACACGCGTGGGAGGTGATATGTGTGTGTTTTGTTGTTGTTGAGGTCTCACTCTGTCGCCCCGGTTGGAGTGCAGTGGCACACTCGTGGCCACCACAGCCTCGACCTGCGGGGCTCAGGCCATCCTTCTGTCTCAGCCCTCCAAGTAGCTGGAACTACAGGCGCACGCCAATTTTTTGATTAATTGTAGCGACGAGGTCTCCCTATGTTGCCCAGGCTAGTCTCGAACTTGTGGGCTCAGGCAGTCCTCTCGCCTCAGCCTTCCAAAGTGCCGGGACTACAAACGTGAGCCACGGTGCCTGGCTAGGGGGGGGTGAAGTGTTAATTAGCTTGCTCATGGTACCTATTGCACAAAGTATATGTATATCATCACATCATATTGTATAGCTTACATATATACAATTTTTGTTTGTCATGATACCTCCATAATGCTGGGAAAAAAGAGAGAAGTAACAGTGGAAAATCCCCTTCCTGTTCTCGTCATGTCCCCTTGTACCCAGTTCCCACGCCTCATAACTGATTAGTTGTGTTAGTTTCACGTGGATTACTCTAGAATTCCCTTTATACAAATGCAAGGGAATGTGATTATCTTCTTATTTTTCTCTTTGTTTCACAAATGCAAGCCAGACAACGCTGTTAGCGGCACTCTGCTTTTTCCTAGCCATATAAAATAGCCGTAGATAATGCTTGTGTAAGGCTTACCATGTGTCCTGCACTGTCCTAAGTGCCGGACAGATGGTAACTGATCAAACCACTGCTATATTTTTATACCCTTTTTTGGGCCAGATTCTTTATTATACAACACGATCCTTGACTCGTTCGCCAGATGACCTTCACAGACCTTCCTTTTGAAAAAAACTGTGGTGAAATAAAAATCAGACAAAATGTACTGTTTTAACCATTTTAATTGTACAATTCAGTGGCAGTAAATACGTTTACAGTGGGTTGTCTATTTCCAGACATTTTTCATCATCCCAAACAAGAGCCTTGTGGTCATTAAATAACAATAACGCCCCATCTGCTCCTCCCCTGCCCCTGGGAACCTCTGTCTTTTGCTCTCTGTGAATTGCCTGTTCTAGGGACCTCATATAAGTGGAATCATAACATCGGTCTTTTTGTGTTGGCTTTATTTCACCTTGCTGTGTGTGCAAGGTTCACCCATGCTGTAGCACATGTCAGAACTTCGTTTCTTGTGAAGGCTGGATTGGAATCCATCGTGAGTGTGTACTGTGTTTTGTTTATCCGGTCATCTGTCAGTGGACATGCGTTGCTTCCACCTTCTGGCTACTGTGAATTGTGCTGCTGTGAACGCTGGTGTACAGGGATATGCCTGAGTCTCTGCTTCCAGTTCTTTGGGGTATATACCTAGAAATAAAATGACTGGATCATACGGTGATTCTACGTTTAACTTTTTTTTTTGAGTCGGAGTCTCACAGTCACCTGGGCTGGAGTGCAGTGGCACGCTCACGGCCACCGCAGCCTCGATCTGCTGGGCTCAGGCGATCCTTCTGGCTCAGACTTCTGAGTAGTTGGGACTACAGGTGCACGCCACCATGTCTGGCTGATTTTTTGATTTATTATAGAGACAAGATCTCGACAGATTGTCCGGACTGGTCTCAAACTCCTGGGCTCAGGCAATCCTCTCACTTATGCTTCCCAAAGTGCTGGGATTACAGGTGTGAGCCACCATACCTAGCTTATGCATAACTTTTTGAGGAACTGCTAAACTCTTTTCCATAGCAACTGTAGCATTTTACATTCCCAGCAGCAATGCACGAGGGTTCCAGTTTCTCCACAACGCTTGTTTTCTGTTTGTTTGTTTGTTTGTTTGTTTAGAGACAGGGTCTCACTCTGTTGCCAAGACTGGAGTGTCCTGGCACTGTCATAGCTCAGTGCAGCCTCAAATTCTCTTGGACTCAAGTGATCCTCCCACCTCAGCCTCTCAAGTAACGGGCTACAGGTGCACACCACCACACTTAATTAAAAAATTCTTTTTGTAGAGATGGGGTTACTCTCACTATGTTGCCTGAGCTGGTCTCAAACACCTGGCTTCAAGCAATCCTCCTGCCTTGGCCTCCCAAAGTGCTGGGATTACAGACATGAGTCACCATACCTGGTGATTTTCTGTTTTGTTTTGTTTTTTAATGGTGGCCGTCCTGATGGATTTGAAGTGGGATCTCATTGTGGTTTTGATTTGTATCTCCCTAATGACCATGTGTATATCTCCTTTGGAGAAATATCTATCCAAGTCCTTTGCCCATTTTTTAATTGGGCTGTTTGCTTGTTGAATTGCCAGAGTTCTTTATATATTGTGAATACTAGGCCTTTATCAGATATCTGATCTGTAAATCTTTTCTCCCATTCTGTCGCTTGTCTTTCCATACTGCATGGTTCTTCTGCTTAATTGTTTACTTATTGCACAAATATTGAGGCCTCCCTTGTACTTAGGGCCACCCTAGGTCCAGGGGAACGTGGTGAATGGCCCTGCATTGCTTTTTAAAGTCGTCCTTAAAAACTGTGTTTACAGGGGTGTTCAAGATGATAGTTGTATGGTCAGACCGCAGAGAATGTCAGTCATTTCTAAGTCGGTGTTGCATTCCTTTGCTCCCTTTTTGAGCCATCCTGTTAGAGGACACCAGAACTAGCATCTGCTGAGGTGGTTCCCTCGCTTTCTATACCATGCAGTCCACATTTCAAACCTCCGGATGCCCACGTCCCACCCCCGTGATTCTGACACGATCCGTCTGGGGTGGGCCCTGGGCAGCCACAGATGCAGGGGCTCCTGGGTGATTGTCTGGGAAGCCGGAAACACTGGAAGACAATGTCTTCTCCAGATGAACATCTGAGCTCATGGCTTTAAATGGAAATGAACGTCACTTGAAACGGAGCCTAAAAGTTGAAGAGAAACACCGAGCATATCGTTTGAAAAGGCAGCCCCGTACTTTAAAAAACAGCCTACATTCTCCACCCCTTCAAACGCCCTGTGATGTGCAGCCAGGGTTGGAACCGCTGGTGGGCGTCTTCCTGGAACACGGCTTTGTGGTTCAAAAGCGTCCGGGAGAGGCTTTCTAGGACAGTGCTTTGAAACCCCAGAGCAATGCAAGGCAACTCCCACTCTTCCAGGGGTGATTTTGGAGAAAGCCAGCTCTTGTATGTGCATGTCTCTATGCCATACAGCAGGGCCTGGGAGCCTGGAAACGACAGAGGAGGGGCGTCGGTCTCCAGTATCCGGCTTCGTCCCCTGAACAGTCTGCTCTTGGGGCCGTGTGTGTCTGTTCAGAAACAATCTCCCCATTCACGTTCACTGTGTGGCTTTCCAGCACATAAACACACTGTTGTTTATTTAATGGCTATCGCAGACTAGAGAGCTGTGGGCCAGAGTTGGCCTTCAGAGATGCTTTTGTGGTCTGCACAGGGATGAAGCACTTCTTACTTAGATGCTAACGTTAAGAAGCATCAGAAGAGCCGGGTGCAGTGGCTCACACCTGTGGTCCCAGCACTTTGGGAGGCAGAGGCGAAAGGATTGCCTGAGCCTAGGGGTTCAAGACCAGCCCGGGCAACTTGGGAGACCTCGTCTTTATAGTAAATCAAAAAATTAGCCAGGCATGGGGGTGCATGCCTGTAGTTCCAGCTACTTGGAAGGCTAAGGTAGAAGGATCACCTGGGCCCTGCAGGTCGAGGCTGTGGTGGCCGTGAGCGCGCCAGTGCACTCCAGCCTGGGTGACAGAGTGAGACTCCACCTCAAAACAAGCAGCAGCAGCAGCATCAGAAAACTTCACACAGACATCGAGTTTCTTGGCTGCCATTGAAAACAGGCCATCCTGACTGTGCTGGGCAGTTTCTAGGTTATGCTAAGGGGCTGGCGGGTGGGGTGGGTGGGGCACCTTGCCCTTGGGCTCACCATGGCCTCTTCCTGGCCCCCTTCTCTCATTTACTTTCCCAGGAGCTGGTTGAGACCCAGGCCAGTCTGCCCCCCGGGCAGTGCGTCCGGTTGTTTCTGACATCTCCCTGTGATTGGTGCTGTGTGGTTCTGAGTCTGCTCACACCCATCTTGCGCATGTGGGCTGACCTCGCTTTGTGATCAGCTCACCGGTCCCTGGGGAGTGAGGAAGCTGCTCATGGTGTTTAATGTCCCTTCCCTTGCTGTGTAGGGAAACGCATTCCTTGAATGCGTGTTCAAGGAGCCCCCGTTATGGGCCAGGTGCTGGGGACCTAGAGGTGAATGAGACACAGAGCTCCCGCCTGCAGGGGACAGGGAGCTTCTTTCTGCTGGGGGTGGGGTGGATAATAAGCACCTCAAGGGCCTCTGGGGGGCGGCCCCTGGGGCCTCTTTGCCACAGAAACTTCCCACCCCCACGGAGTGACACTCAGAAGACCCATGGCCTCATAGGAGGTCAGGGCAGGGTGACCCCTGAGTGGGTAGGGGTCTGGGGGTGGATCTGTAACTCCAGTCTCTGTGCTCTGTCCCTGCAGGAGATAAGGACCGCGCGAGCAGCGTCAAAGGTCGCCTGTGGAAGCTGCTGTCCCCGGCTAGGCTGGCTACCCGGGCCCAACGGAGCCAATGGCTGGAAACGTACCTTGAGCACCTGGAGGAGATGGGTGTCTCGGAGGAGATGCAGGCGCGGGCCCTGGTGCTACAGCTCTGGGCCACGCAGGTGGGCATGGGCGTGCAGGCAGGTGCATGCAGGTGTGGCTGTGCGTGTGGATGCACGTGCATGTGTGTGTGTGCTGTCAGGCACACGTGTGAGTGTGTGTGCTGGTGTGTGCGCATGGGAGCATGCATATGTGTGGGCGCGTGCAGCTATGCATGTGCCTGACATATGCATTTGTGAGTGTAGTGTGTGCTGGTGGAGGCGGAGGTATGTGCACCATACCCAGTTCTCTACCCCAGTTCACTGACTTTTGTTATTTTTTTCTTTGAGTCGGAGGCTCACTCTGTCGCCCAGGCTGGAGTACAGTGGCAAGCTCATGGCCACGACAGCCTCAACCTCCTGGGCTCAGGCAATCCTTCTGATTCAGCCTCCTAAGTAGCTGGAACTTCAGGTGTGTGCCACCAGGCCCAGCTAATTTTTTTATTTTGTAGAGACAAGGTCTTGCCATGTTGCCCAGGCTGGTCTCGAACTCCTGGTCTTAGGCAATCGTCTCATCTGGCCTCCCAAAGTGTTGGGGTTACAGGCAGGAGCCACCACGCTTGGTCTTTCCTGGCTTATTTTCCTGTCAAACAGCATCATGAACAGGATCATTTGCTCAGTATTCCTTTTTTTTTTTTTTTTAATTTAGAAAAATGTCAGACTTATAGAAAAGTTTCTTAACTAGTGTAACAAGCTCCTATATACATTTCATTTTGATTCTCTAATTTTAAATATTTTACCACATTTGCACACACTCTCCCTCTCTCTCCCTTTCTCTCTCTCTCTCTCTTTCTCTCTGTCTCCCCCCCCACACTGGGATTATTTCATTGAAATTATTTGTGAGTAAATGGCAGATACTGTGTCTCTGCACCTTGATTGCTTGGATGCATCTCCTAGGAGCAAGAACATGACCAAGTGCAATAGCCAAGCTTAGGATGGTTAGTCCAGATGCATGAGCCTTGTCTAACAAACAGTCCAGAGCCCTGTTTGCCAGTTGTCCCAGGAATGTCCCTTTTGGCTCATCTGGGTCCAGCCTGTCATCTGAGACCGCAGGTTGCATTTAGTCATTCTACCTCTTTCGTTTTCTTTAATCTGATCCGGTTTTTATGCCTTTTCCTGTTTTTCATGACCTTAAGAGTTTTTGAAGTATGCAGATCGGTTATTTTGAAGAATCATTTAAGACAGCAGTCCCCAGCCTTTTTGACATCAGGGACCAGTTTTGTGGATGGTGGTTTTTCCGTGAACCCTGGTTAGGGGGTTGGGGTGGATGGCTTGGGCATGATTCATTTCTTGTGTACTTTATTTCTATTATTATTACATCATAATATACAATGGAAGTGGAAAATAAAATAGTGGACGGGCCACACATGGGCTGAAATAAGTGTTCTGACTTAAAGCCTGTCACCCGATGCAGCTGTACAGTTGAAGGACTCACTTGCCACTCACGGGGTTTTGACATGAGTCTGCAGGCGGTTGGTTTATCCATGGTCTCTGTGCGGTCAGGCCTCACTAGTCACGTTAATCGGTATTTGCAGCTGCTCTCCAGTGCTAGCGTCACCGCCTCAGCAACCCCCCCCAGGTCATCAGGCATTAGATTCTCATAAGGAGCGTGCAGCCTGGATCCCTTGCAGGCTCAGGTCACAGGAGGGTCTGCACTCCTGTGAGAATCTAATGCCATGGTTGACGTGACAGGAGGCGGAGCTCAGGCGGTAATGCAAGCGATGGGGAGCAGCGGCAAGCACAGATGAAGCTTCGCTCGGTGGCCCGCCGCTCACCTACTGTGCAGCCTGGTTCCAAAACAGGCCACAGACCAGTACTGGTTGGGGACTCCTGGTTTAACAGTTCATGGAGCACTTACAATAGGCCTCAAAGGCCCGGCTTTGTGTTCCTTACCTATTAGTGGGGGTGGGGGCGGGGGCTAGTCAAGGAAACATATCCCAGATGGTTTTAGAAGCTGATATGAAACAGGCTGTGACTAGAGAGCCTGTGGGTAGGAGTGGGGAGGCCCCTCTGAGGAGATGTTTGAGCCGAGTGTGAACCTTGAGTGACGAGAAAGCTAGATCCAAGCACTTGGAGGAGATGTGAGGATGGGGTCTTCCAAACAGGGGAGCCAGCAAGTGCAAAGGCCCTGGGGTTGGATCATGTCAGGAGTTGGGGCAACAGCAAGGAGTTGTGTATGGCTGCAGCAGAGTGAGGACGGGGTGTGGGGCTGAGGGAGCAGATCACGGAGGGCCCTGAAGGTCCCATAAGTCCAGGCTTGGGATTTTTCCTTGGGTGAGGAGGGCTCCCTATGAGAGTTCTTTTTTTTTTTTTCCCCCAATCAGGATCTCACTCTGTCACCCAGGCTGGAGTACAGTGGCACAATCACAGCTCACCACAGCCTCCATGCCCTGGGCTCAAGCAATCCTTTCACCTCAGCTTCCCAAGTCGCTTGGACTACAGGTGCACACCACCATGCCTGGCTACTTAAAAAAAAATTTTTTTTAGAGACAAGATCTTGCTGTGTTGCCCAGTCTATTCTCAAACTCCTGGACTCAAGTGATCCTCCCTCCGTGGCCTTCCAAAGTGCTGGAATGACAGGCATGAGCCACCACCCCTGGCCCCTATGAGAGTTCTGAGCAGAGGAGGGACAGGATCTTGGGAACAAGGGCAAAATCGGGCCCGAAGGAGGAGACAGTCATGGCAGGATCGGGCGGTGGCCATGGAGGGGACGAGGAAGTGGATAGATGTTGGAAACTTCAGGGAGACAGAGCCACTGGCTTTTGCAGTGCACTGGATATTGGAGAGAGAAGGGCAGCCTTGGATGCTGGGGGTCTCCAGGCCTGGTTCCTGACCCACCCCCACCCCTGACCCCACCCCTGACCCCTGACCCCCCTTTCTCTTGGCCTCATCTCGGCAGTGACAGTTGCACAGGCAGACGTTCCTGGGTGGTTCCTCTCCCACTGGCTTGCCGCTTGCTTTTCATTTCGTCTCAGAGCCATTATCTGTCCCTGCGGGCAGAGGCTGGCACGGTCAGGGCTGGGTTTACTCGGCAATTGTCCTCGTTCGTGCCTAATGACATATTTATAGGCAGAGATGACTTGGAGCGCCATGCTGTCCCCAGAACCCCTGCGGAAATGGCCTCTGTCAGCAGAACTGGATGCTGGCCGGGGGGCTTGGGTGGCAGAAAGTCGAGGGAACAGCCTTGGGCGGGGCCAGAACCAACCGGGCAGGAGCTGGGGACAGGACATCCTCTGAGGCTAATCGCTGGCAGCATCCAGAACTCAGGCAGGTGGGGAAGCCCGTCGGGGAGAGCAGAGCCAGGCGGCTGCTGTGTCACCCAGGGCTCCAGCCACAGGCTCTGCAATGTCCCTGTCTGGATCTGAGTCTTGATTTTGCGGCTTTCTGGCAAGTCAGTCACTGCTTAATCCCTCAGCACCTCAGTTTACTCATCTGTGAAATGGAGCTGGAAGCACCTTCTTCAAGGCATAGTCGTGAGGGTGGAAGAAAGTGACGTGCGTACAATTCTGTGATGGTGCCTGGCAGGGAAGTGCTCAATAGACATCTTCACTATGTATTTATGGGGGCCTGCTCAGTGCCAGGCTCCCTTCTAGAAGATGAAGACAGTGCAGTGAGCAGAACTGATAAAAAGTCCCTGCCTGTGGGCTGGGAGGCTGAGGCAAAGGATTGCCTGAGCTCAGGAGTTCAAGATCAGCCTGGGCAACACAGTGAGACTTTGTCTCTAGAAAAATCAAAAGTTAACTTGGCGTGGTGGTGCACGCCTGTAGTCCCAGCGACTTGGGAGACTGATATGGAAGGATCCCCTGAGCACTGGAGTTTGTGGCTGCAGTGAGCTGTGATCGTGTCACTGTATTTCAGTCTGGGCAATGGAGTGAGACCCTGACTCAAAAAAAAAGGCCCTGTTTTAGGAAGCTGCCGTCCTGGTGGGAGAAGACTGACAGTCAATAACAAGTAAGCATCGGAATGTATTGGAGGTCATAGGTTCTACAGAGATCAGACATAGCGGAGTAAGGGACTAGTGGGAGGAGGGGCTGCTTTAAAGCAGATGGCCCAGGAAGACCTCACTGAGAGGCGACGTCTGAGCAGAGACTCCAGGATGTGAGGAAGTGAGCCATGAGGATGTGGAGAATGGGGGCTTTCAGGCCAGGCAGCACGTGCAAAGGCCCTGAGGTGGGGATGCTGGTGATGTGGCAGGGAGGTGGCAGCACCAAGGCCACACAGGGCCCTGCAGGCCTGTAGGCTCTAGGCAGGGCTTTGGTTTGAGTGAGATGGGTGCCCGCTGAGGGAAAACGTGGCCTGCCTTGCACCTTAGAGGAATCACTCCGGCTCCAGTGGTGACAGCAGACGGTAGTGGGGGCAAGTGGAAGCAGGGAGGGCAGGGAGGAGGCCGCTGCCATGGGGGGAAGATGAGGAGTGGCCAGAGAGGTGGAGGAGAGCCAAGAGGGAACACTGCCCCAAAGGGAAGGGGCATCACCTGAGGGTGGGAGGACCACCTGAGGGTGGGAGGACCACCCGAGGGTGGGAGCATCACCCCGAGGCCAGGTGTAGAAAGCTTCCTGAAAGGCTGGGGGTGGTAAGCTGTGTCAGATGCTACAGGGAGGCTGAGAAACGGGAGTGATGATTGCTACTGTCAGAGCAGAGATGATGAGTCAGGAAAAATAATCTCGAAAGCTATTGAGTGCTCAGCACGGGCCAAGCATCTCGAGCACTTTGCCCACGTCAGCACACAGGCTCCTCACCGAAGCTCCAATCCACAACACTGAGCCTGGAGTCCAGACTGATGGCAGGGGCAGTGGGAGGGCCCCAGGGGCTGAGCCCTGAGGCCCGGCCCGGGAAAGAGGCCCGCTCTGAGGGGAGGCTGGGTGGGTGGGGATAAGGGGACAGAGAGAGCTTCAAGAGATGGGCCCCTGAAGGTCCATCACGGGACAGGCTGCCCTGAACCCGCCGGCCCTGAGCTCAAACCGAGACCCCGACCGTCACGGTCCTCCACCCGCGCAGCCCCAGGCATCACATCTTCCCCTTCTCTTCCTTTCCAGCCCCAGCACAGTCTCAGCAGCTGACCCTCAAGGCCCAGGTGCTCCGGCGGTCCTAAGGGGCGGGAAGGGGGCTGTGGGAGCTGCTGGGATCTGAGATTGTGGCCATGGAGAAGAATCCCTGAGGCGCTGTGGCGGCTGGCGGGGGTGAAAAGCAGAGCGCAGGGTTCAGAGTCAGACAGGCTTGGATGGACTCACGGCTCTGCCGCCGACTGGTTGTGCGACCTTGAATGAGTCACTTTGCTTCCTGGACTCCCGTTTGATCATCTGTAAAGAGGTCTGGTCCCCCCCCCACCCCAAGTAGTTTTATTTGTTTGTTTGTCTCACTCTGGAGGCTGGAGTGCAGTGGCACGGTTACTGCTCACCACAGCCTCGACCTCCTGGGCTCAGGCAATCCTTCCGCCTCAGTCTCCTGAGTAACTGGGATGAGAGGCACACACCACCATGCCCCACTTACTTTAAAATTTTTTTTCATAAAGACGAGTTCTCACTGTGTTTCCCAGGCTGGTCTCCAAAACCTGGGCTCAAGCGATCCTCCTGCCTCAGCCTCCCAAAGTGCTGGGACTAGAGGTGTGAGTCACCGCACCCGGCCTCTTTGAAGTCATTTTGGATTACAGAAGGATTACACAGACAGCATGGGGAGTTCCTATGTGCCCTCGGCCCAGCTATCCCTACTTAACATAATAACCACAGTTGGTTTATCAGGACTAAGGAATGAGCCTTGGTGCAGGACTCCGAGCTCAAGTTCACACTTGACTGCGATTTCCCGTTTCTCCAGTGGTATGTTTTCTTTTCCAGCATCCAGCCCAGGACACCATGACACACTTAAGGTTTTTGTTTGTTTTAAATGCGCCCAGGCTGGAGTGCAGCAGCACGCTCACAGCCACCGCAGCCTCAATCTGCTGGGCTCAGGTGATCCTTCCGCCTCAGCCTTCCAAGTAGCTACAGGTGCACCACCACGCCCAGATAATTTTTTTATTTTTTT